GTTATTCTGGTCTGTCTGGCTCTTCGCGTAGGAGCGTCGTTTATCGCCAATCGGTTCCTGGTCAGGTCAGATATGTTCTACTGTAGGGTTCTCAACCGTCTCCGTGGTTCTGGGGAAACTCTGACTCACTCTGACCTCAATGTATCACCAGATCTCTGCACCTTTTCCTTGAGCTTTGGGGAAACCCGACTGACGAGGAGCACGTTCAGACCTACCTCTGGTTGGGGCGGAGCTACAAAGATAGGGGGCGGAGTCAGGACATCAGAGCATGTTATGAAATGGGATTACTGATTGCACTTCATGCCAGAAACCTGCACAGTAAGTATTTACAAAATAAAGAACACCCTCCCCTCCTCCTCCCCCTACTGTTCCTTTCAGGAAGTACCAGCTAATGTTGGGAACCAGGAACTCAGTCAACTGTGAAAGGTCTGGTATTCTTTTGAAAAAGAACAAACATCCAGGTCAACAACCTTGGTCTGCCCCATGGGGGCAGCCTGGCTGTCGGATCTGTGGCCCCACCCATGACAAAGAACCTTCAGTTCATTAATAAAAGGCTCCTGATTGGTCCACCAGCCTGTGTGACCCACAGCATATATTATTTCCATATATTCTAATTTTATTAATTTAATCTCTAGCGACCTCTTCAGGTGAAACCTAGGACTGTTTATTTGAAAAGAGCAAAGGCATTTTAAAGCCATCTGCTGGCACCTAGTGGACGAGTACTGAATTGTTCTGCCCTTTTTCTGGTACAGACAAAGTGGACCATGTCACCACTGAGGTTTGGGTGAGGACATGATTGACTGTTGTTGTTCACGTTGTCTCAGGTCAGATGGTCGTGGCCAAGGTTCTGAGTCGACTGTACGCCGACATGCTGCTCTACGGTCAGAGCATCGTTTACTTCGAACACTGTGTTTCAGTGTCCAGAGAACTCAAGGACAAGACCCTGGAGGGGGAGTACCTGGAAATCCTGAGTAACCTTTACCTAACACTGAACACTGAGAGGTTCGTCCCCCCTCCCCGCCCCCCACTCCACTCACTTGATTCATTTTCAGTTTGGGTTTTTCTAATTCTTTGTTGATGTGACGCAGATCTTCTCGGAAGTCTCTGGACTACACCAAGCAAAGTCTGAGGATTTCTATTGACCTCGGCAAAAGGGAAGAAGAGTCTGAGACCTGGCTGCAGGTGGGGCGCATTTATTACCTCATTCAGGAGGACGAGCTGGCTGACATGTACCTGCAGGTGAGGAGGGGGAGAAGGAGAACGTGTTTGTAGGAACGGAGAACTCCTGATAACCACTGGTTGGTTTGTTCTGTACTTTGGTTGATTGACAGGCAGCGGTGAAGACCGCCCTGAGGATGAACGACCCTCACTTTGCCATGAGCATCTACGAGGAGGCGGGAGACGTCTACTTTAAAGGACACAGGAATCAGATGTCATCTCTGCCTTTCTTCAGGGTAAGAGGGTGGAGTGTTAAACCTGTTTCTTTGGTGGGGGAGGGGGGGCGAGGTGATGATGGGGGGGTTACATGTGAACCTGAGTGTAACTGAATTCATGAAAATCTTTACTCAGGATGGCAGTTTGCCGTTTGCACGCAGCATCAAGGATGTGGATTCAGAGTTTCGTTTGCTGAGTAAAGTCACGGAGCTGTTGACGAGTCACGGTGAACTGGACGAGGCTCTGCAGTACGCCACCCTGACCGTTCAGGTGGCCGGCAGAACAGGTACAACGTTAGAATACGTTAGACCCAGTTTAGTTCCTCTAACACCTGAGAATGTTGTTGCTGCATCATCATCATCATCATCTTCATCTTCATCATCATTCCTCCCTGTCGTCGTCCTCACACAGCCGTACAGATGAACGAGAGGACAGCCTACCACCGTCTGGCTACCATCTATTACCGACTGCAGCAGTATGAGATGGCAGAAAACTACTACCTCAAGTCACTGTCCTTCTGCTCACCGGTCCTGCAGCACCCAGCAGAGGCCCACTACTACACCAGGGTCTACTGCAGACTGGGGAATCTAACCCTGCACCAACTGAAGGTCAGAGGCTCTTCACTTATCACGGACTCCTCTACTGAACATTTTAGTTAATTAATGCAGACTCAGTCTAGTGATGTAGCTCAGGTCATAAAGGTCAACCCATGTCATTCCATTAAACAACATTCGTTTCATCCGTCTCTCCAGGATGCTCTGGACGCCATGGGCTACTTCCATCTGGCCCTTGCTGCGGCCCTGGTGGACCAGGACCACCCGGAGGATCTGTACGTGGTCTACATGAAGCTGGCAGAAATCCATTACAACCACATGCCCGACACCGAGCTGTGCCAGACCTACAGAGACAGAGCCCGCAGTCTGAAAAGAGTCCTGGCCAGAGAGGACGGGAGTTCTGTTGGAGAGAACGTGATGACAGAACCGGGCCGACAGAGGACAGAGGACATGGATGTTGATGTGGGACAGACCAGTGGTTTGTTTGACAGGGACAGCATCTTAGACTCTATACCTGAAGACGACAGCTACAAGGTCGAGCTGAGCCCAAGATCGTGTCTGAGACGAGCAGCTAATAAATACACCGATGGGACAGAAGCTCAGAACCACCGGCCTGCAGGAGGTCCATCTGTGGACGGGTGTGAGACGGACACCATAGCCAGCCGGTCCTACAGCGACAGTATTCTCACCGGGTCCTTTGACACAGCGAAGGAGCAGATCTCAGACACCAGCAGCTCCACTGACACCTACCAGAACCCCAGTGATGGAAGAGACACTGACCACACCTGTGACATCACAGGCCGCACTGACGCTTCAGACACAGACATGAGAACGGCCGATGGTCAGCCCGACACTGAGGCCGAGGGACTCAGTCCACCTTAACAGACCATGTCCACCTTAACAGACCAGGTCCATGTTGGTAGACAGAGGAAGATCACGTGACCTCTGTGGACATGTTCTAGCACTTTATGTTCTACTCTGACATTTCCTCTGTTTGGTCACAGTGTGATCAACCAGTTGACTCCAGTTGGATCAACCAGTTGACTCCAATGTTCCCACCACAGGACACTGGTTCTAGGAAACGTAATGGCAGTATTGCATTTTTCAAGTAATTCAGACAAATGAAAGCATGTGCCTTC